TTAGGCTGACCGACCCCGTTTGCATTGGGTATAAGACGAAGGAGAAAAAAATTAAAAAAATGTAGATATAAATTAATCAGTTTTTTATTTTTTTATTTTTGCTCAGTCTTAGTGACCAGCTACTCCTTTGTTTCTTTATTTGTCGTATTATAATAAGGTATTAAAATTCATACCCAGTCAGTTGTCCTCAAAGTAACTCCAGAGTCAAAGGACCATGATAACGATAAGATGCAACGATTAGCTACAAACGAAACTTTCGCGGTTCGGTGTTATTTTAAATTCAGCCTTAGGTTTTGAGCACAATTAAACTCTGGTGTGTGTGTGTGTACAATACATAAGCTACAAAGATATTGTATCTAGGCATATACCGGACGCCACCGTGTGATGTTTGTGAACGCCAGACGTAGCACTTGTGTATAAAATCATAAAATAATGATATGCGCAGATGACATGCCCGCGATTAAGTCAATATACATATTGTAGAGTTACACACATAGTTTTAACCATATAACATATTAGGTTAGGAAGTATTTGTATTTAAAAAAAAATGTCTTTAAAACGTACCGTCGGAGTACTCAAGACGGCCAAGTGGGTCAACACGCACAGACACATATACGTTTAGGTATAAGACTAACTGCATCGTTATTAATAATATTATATTCCCATCTAACGCGACGACGTCTCAACACATAATATACAAAATATATTATTATAGATGTGTAGAAAATATGTTTCAAGAAATAATTTTTCATCGAATCGTCAAGCCGCGGCGTTTCTCTTCAACGCTAATGCAAACTGCACCCTACCGCGAGTGCACGCTCACAAGTGTGTATATATATATATATATGTGTATACGGTTTTTAATTGATATTATTGTTTATTATCTTTGGCCGCGGTGAGAAATTGGGTGTGAAACGTTTCATCAATCACCCTGTATATATATATAAAATAAAAAATGAAAACACAATGGGAAAAAAAAAAGAGGGGTGGACAATGAATGCCAGGTGCTCGGCGACGGCATCGGTCGTCGTGGACTGTCAGCCAGTGTGCGTGGAAAATTTTCATTTTTTTATTTTATTTATATATATATATATCTACCGAAAAAACACACACACACATACATATACTCAAAACACCACATACACCGACCTCGTATATGCCAACGCTGACACCTCGTATGGACGATGATTTACGCGTCAAACGTGTGTCATGTGCGCTTGTGATTATATATTATGTGGGAGGAGCAGTAGACACATACACACACACATATGTATAATATAAATTGGTACAAACAAATAATTGAATAGCAGTAAAAAAAAGTCTAAACGCAATTAGATAGTGACCGTCTTATTAGTCACACTATATACTTTACTGTATTATAATAATTATTATACACATACCTACTGTGTATAGTATAGTAAAGATTATAATATTAATATAGGTATTAGGGACACATTACTGTTCGTTCCACGGTGTTCTGTGGTCATAATAATTGTTTTGCAGCGTGATACAGAATTCGTCTAGGATTTATCTTATATAACTTCAATAATTCCAGTTGATTTTACAAAAATACAAATAATTTACCTATACACTAATGTATATAAACTACTCGTGTTGAGTGTTCCGAATTATATTATAGGTAATCCGGTGCCTTGTTTCCAGTAACGCCATCGCGTACCTTAAACATATTTGCCCTTATTCTTAAACAGGTATACCTAGTAGGCTGCTATATGCATGTATACCTATTCATTCTAACCTAATCCGTCAGCTGTTCTAGCCCCGGACCAAAACTATTCCGCGTGGGCATAGTACCCGCACAAATCTATTATGTACAGCCATAAATATGTATCCTTAGGTATATATACTTACTTTTATAGCCGTTTTCAAAACGTTTTACGACTAGCGCCATGCCTGTGTTATACCTAACACATAATATGCGGGTAGGCTACAGAACGCATAAATCTGCTAAAAGGTGCTCAGAACATGAATAATTGTTAAATAAGGTATATCATTATGCGCCAATATAGCTATTATTATGATTTACACATAACGCGGGCAAAAAGTATCAGCCACTGTGCTACACTATAATATACTATCTTATTATGCTTAAGTATACTCGTATACAGAGAAAGTAAAGTATATTATAAAGAGAGACTGTATAAAGACTTTATACAGAGGGTTCTCTATAAGACCGTTGCACGCGCTCTTAGACGTCGTGTGGACGCGGACAATATTGTTATTGAGTCGTTTCCTATTGCTTTTTCTACTTTAATGTATACACAATAATAATGTACATATATGCACGTAAGAAGTGTTGTAACGAATACAATATAGTATAATGCAGTTGTGGTGATCGTTGGGCTTTTATGCCACGGGGCCAAGGTCACGGACGGCGACTGCAGTATACAGTACATAATATTTATACCTATATATTATTGCTGGTATGTACAATATATAGGTATAAAAAAAATATTACTATAAAACGTATGTATGCATAAATGCATACATATTGTATATATTACATGTATATCTCGAGACGACAGGGCGTCTTGCATAAACAAATATGTTTAACTCCCTATTGAGGTTTATTTAACCGTAAGATGTCTACAATATAATAGTATGTATATAAAGATATGTCGTTCATTTTTGTACTTACATATTATTTCAACGTAGGTCGTAGTGCGTATGCAGAATATTTGTATATATATATATATATAAACAATTAAATTTTTAATAATCGTTCAATATAATTACTTGGTACCCTTTCTCAAGTATAGTAAGTATATGTACACGGACACTAAGATATTACCACGGAATAAAAGCTATTGGTGCGACAAACGCTGACCCTCACTGTAAGTATATCATATGTGGTAAAATATATTATATAAATATACAAACAGATTTATATATACATAATATGTGTGTGTGTGTGTATCATGCCGTATATTATAATAAACGTGGTGATGTATATGTATATATATCTGTATATTATGCTATGCTATCCGGCAATATTGTTAACGCGATTATCGTGGGGGGACGAAGCTGCTTGTATACATATTTATCGCGTTATTTAATCCTAAGCGGTGCACAGTCGTTTGATTTAATATGATAATTATATTATTGTAATGCGATTGGAACGTCCGTTCATTTTGATATTTATATTAGGTATTATTTCTTTTCTCTCGGCGGGTTAACGGGTAGATAATAAATTTGTTATTTATGTGTATTAAATGAAAATAGCATCGTTTAGCCTAAATATTATGTTCTGTACAGTTCTATAATTTATTTTTTATATCTCTTTAATTTTTACACACAGTGTATCTAGAATATGTTAGTGTGGTTATACCGTGTATTTAAGGGCTACTAAAAAAGAGTTTCGCGGTATAAAATTTTAGGATATAAGTAAAATGATTAGAACAAAAAAATGTTATGGATATGTTTTCTACAAAGTTCTTTTCCAAACATTTTGGTAAATAAAATACCGATTAATACTCATTTTCACTTATAAAATACCAATACAATTGTTACAATAGCTTCGTTCTCTCGTTTTTCATATGTTTTTCCTCTTAAGATTTAGATTTGGGTTTGTTGTGGGCTGCGGCAGCTCACTGTGTAAGGTGTCTTTGTAGCTTGAATGCCCAAAGTTTCAACTAACCTTGGGGCTTGGATGACATAGGTATAACTCTGCATGTAAACAAATAATTAGTCGAAATTAGTAAGTATTAAATAGATATATTCAATTACATTATAATATACATTATAATTCAATTACATTATAAAATCGTCTGGTTTTTCCAACATAAGTATTTTTATATTATAGGGTCAATATTATAGGCTCGTTCTTAGCTTCATTTCTTGCACTATTAATAATTAGGGACGTTTAATGTAATTACACGTTTAATAAGATTGTTAGGTTAGCTGCTGTCTATAGGTAATAGGTATAGGTATTGTTTTTACATTTTAAGTCAGAGTATTGGTAATAATAGGCGAGATTGTGTCTACAATTACATAGTACAATCAAAAGGGGGAGCGACATCAAAATGTATGAATCCCTGCATGTTGGCACCAATCATCCCACAAGCCGAAATTTTTTGCAATTAACAGTGCTACCATTTCATACTAGCTTACCGTTTTTATATGGTCTATAATATAGGTCATACAACTTATATAAAAGGGTTTAAACGATTAGTAACAACCCTTAATCAATTGATTTTATTAAATATGTGTAATAAGCTACTTTTCATTTTATCCAATGGACATTAAGCGTAATAATTGTGTCGATTTAATACAATATTAGTAAATAGTATATAAAAAAATGTACAACCTACTTAAAAAAGACGCGCTACTTTCGAGCTGGGAGGCCAAGGCTAAAGCATGTTCCATGCTAAAATAAAAACTCGGTTAGGTAAAAACTGCCGACAGATAGATAGGATTATAGATGGGATTAGTGAACATTCGTTATGATCCGTAATTGGTCAATTATATGTCATAATGAACCGTTCAATGTAAACAGTTTATCGTGCGACCAGGGTTTTCATTGAACGATTCTGTGGTGATTTTGGATGTAAGTGTAGGTACATTTATAAATTCAAGTGGACAGCGGCTATTGTTTTTGAGCTCACGTCTCGCGAGTATGTTTACCTAAATTCCGGTGTTGTTTTCTCGAGTAATTTTTCGAAAATTTCTGACCGATAACGTGTTGGCAAACCGGGACGGAAGCGAGAGGGGACGCGGCGGTTTTTTTTTTGGGTCCGTTACGGTAGTGCGGGCAGTCGACGGGTACAGCGGGTTGGGACCGGGACAGCAACGCGATGTGGGGGAAAGGTTAGGCGCGCTCGTCCTCCGTCGGCGGGCGGCACCGCCCGGTGACGTCTCGCCACCGGATTGGCCGCGGAGGCGGGACGCCCGGCAATCGATATACCTGCGGCGGTGGGGACACCGTGGCGGCCGTGGCGGCCCCGAGACTCCAACGCCCGATAGTCGTAGCCGCCACCGACGGACCGAATCCGATAGTAGTTCTACGACAGCCGCACTCAGACGACGTTGTCCGATCGCGTGTACGTCAGTGTGTCGTGTACGATAAAAATATTAATAATAATACCTATTCGATATTTCGTCCGTGTCGTTATTTTGGACGTCCACGACCACGTTTCGACGGCAAAGTGCGTGCATGCAGTTGTTATTGTTTTCGCCAACATTACACACCGTGTACCGAACCGCCGCAGGTATTGCGTTTTTTGGTCTTTAATGAAAAAAACGTCCAAACCGATCGTGTACTTACGTGCGAGTGTGAGTCAGTACCCGTGAAATACTCATTCGGCGCTTTGTCCGACACGAAGTTGTCGCCTATTTCCGTCGGTACTTATTGTGATTAAAGCGCGCGCGTCACAGCGCCCGCGACGACGGCCGTAACACAATGTTAATGGACGCCGAATTGAAAAACTGCTCGGGCTTGCTGGGCAACGCCGGTGGTGGACATCACGCGGCCGCCGCCCACATGGGCCACGCTGCGGCCTACGGCAATCTGAACCAGATGGGTATGCTGGCCGGTATCGGTCCGGCGGGTGTCGTGCTCGGTGGACAGCAGTCTCTGTCGCCGCCGCCACACCACCAACACCATCAGCAACAGCAACAGCACCAACAGCAGCAACAACAACAACAGCACCACCATCACATGCAGTCGGCGCACCACCAACACCAGGGCCACGGTGTTGGCGGCGGACATTTACAGTTACCGTCACCAAACAACAACAACGGCACGGCCGCCAACAACAAGAATCAACAGCAAAACGCGGACCGCGTCAAGCGACCCATGAACGCGTTCATGGTGTGGTCCCGGGGTCAGCGCCGGAAGATGGCTCAGGAGAATCCCAAGATGCACAATTCGGAAATCAGCAAGCGGCTGGGCAGCGAATGGAAGATGCTGACGGAAACGGAAAAGCGACCGTTCATCGACGAAGCCAAGAGGCTGAGGGCCGTGCACATGAAAGAACACCCCGACTACAAATACAGGCCTAGGCGCAAGACGAAGACATTAATGAAAAAAGAAAAATACCCATTGCCGGGTGGAGGCGGTGGACCGTTGTCGCTGGGTGGCGGCTCCGGACCCGGCGGCGTCCAGTCGGACCCACGAAACGCGGCGTCTCAGGCTTCAGCGGCCGTCCAACAGCAAATGGTCAACAGTGGCCGCGAGCTATACCATCAGATGAACGGTTACATGCCCAACGGCGGGTTCGGCATGCACCACCACGATCCCAACCCGTATGCGCAGCAGCCGTACGCGTCCGCTCACATGGCAGCGGCCGCGTCCCAGGCCGCAGCCGCCGGTTATCGGTATGACATGCCGCAGATGAACAACAATGCGGCCGCGGCCGCATCCATGCACTACCTCAATGGCAGCTACAACCTGTACTCGGACATGAACCAGTACCAGCAGCAGCAAGGCCCGCCGTCGACGTCGCATAGCCCGGACAGCATAAAATCCGAGAGGATCACGCCGCCCGTCCAAACTGGCGGACACTCGCCGAGCCCTAGGCTCTGCCAGCAACAGCAGTCCGGAAACGGGCAACAGCTGCATCAGCAGCAACAGCTAGGCAGCGGCGATCTGCTACGCATGTACATGCCACTCGAGTCCAGGCTGTCCGCGGCCGGTGGCGGTGGCCACAACCCCTATCTGACACAATCTGCAGCCGCCGGGGCCGGTGGCCACCAAGGGCACGGCCAAAACCTCGGACAACACCCTCATTCCATGTCGCCCGACCTGCAGATGAGCCATCTCAACCATCACATGTAAATCAACGCTCCGCCGTGAACCATGTGTAAGCCATATACATATACATATTATATAAATACATATATATATATATACATAGGTTTTTTTTATATATATAATAATATTATAAATAGATACGTTTTAAATGCCGCCTATGATATTATAAAGCGCGCACGTTTTAATTTATTTTGTGTAACCCCCGAAAATTAAGTTTGAAAAAAAAACATGTAAATAATAAAGTTGATTGTTTTTTTATTCTTTTTTTTTTCATTTCACTCTGTTTCTTTTACTTTTTTTGTACGTATATTAGGTATACTTGCGTTGGTCGTTTTTATTAATAGAAAAATAAACACTATTGCAATACCTCTCAAAAACTTGTTCTTATTAAAACAAAAAAACCCCACAAAAAGAAAAACGCAACAAATAATTTCCGAACGATAACCAATAACTATAATAATAATTGTATAACAAAAAAAAATAATAATGATAATAATAATAGTAATAATAATTATTTTAATTTTAATTATTTAACAAAAATGTTTAATTAGAAGTATTTTCCAACGACAAATTAATAAAAAAAAAACCGTCGGCATACGACGGGCCAGCCTTTTATGTAACTAAATACTATAGCTTTGTACATAAAAGTGCGGTCTCGAATATTGTTGTTGTTATTATTATTATTATGATTATAATATAAATATAAAAATTGCTAAACAATTATATATTTTATTAACTGTTATTCTAAAATCGTACTTACATACCTATACTCGAGACGAAAAACGCGACCATCACACGGTTAACAATGCACGCGCTTCGAGGTTGTGCCATAAAAAAATAATCTAATAATAAAAAAAATATTATCCAAGCGCTCGTACGTGTATAATTTGCGTGTATCGTTTAAACAAAAAACAATTACTGCATGTGTATAAAAATGACCAAAAAAAAATTCCAAATAATATTAATAATTATTATTGTCGGCAATATATTTTTTATTATTATTGTTATTGTGAAACGTTCGGGCGATCTGCCCCCCCCTTCCCCCCATAAAAGCGGTCGACGGGTTTAACGTTGGTTTTTTATTTGTTAACTCGCTAATGAGTTACTAATTAGCGTTTAATAAACCAATAATAATAATGAAAAAAAATTACTTGTGGAATAGATGCGGCGGCGGCGGCGGCGGGTTAACCATATTCGCCGTTCTGAAATTGAATAATGAAAGCCAGAAAACTGATTTTCAGTGACCTTATTTTTGGAATTTTTTTTCTTTTTTCAAACAAAATTTCGGTGTTATTTTTTTTCTCTACGATATTAATAATAAATACTAATACCGATTATATTTTGGGTAAAACGCGGAGAACACGAGGTTCTGTGCGCGGTTGTCCGCATCGTGTCGACAACCGGTCCGGCCAGGCTTATCGACACCAAATCATCGCCGTTTGATGGTTGTTTTGGTACCTAAACACAGCCCAAAAAATGTTCATCGTCCTTGACAACAAAAATAGAATAGTGCACACCGTCGTCGTCGGTGTACAACAAGCACACGGCGGCGGTAATCGCAATAACGATCGGTCAACGGAGTTTCCGGTTGTTGGATTTGTGGTAAAATAAAAAAAAATGTCTACTTAATATTTTCGTTAATTATCAAAAAAAAAAAAAACGCTAAAAATTGAATGAAAAAATTAAAACACATACCGTAAACTAGCCGACAAAACATTGACCCTCGATTCGATTAGGTCAACGCTACTTACTTGCGAGACAAACGTGAAGCCGTTTATTGCAGTAATTATTTTATTAAATAATCCAATATGAACACAAAGATGCGGTTTTTAGACCCGTCGACCCGATCAACCCCGCTAAACTAGCCAGTTCTCTTGCATTGAAAAAAAAACCCAAATATTTTTACCGTTGTTCAGGCGAATCTGAACAAACGACAATATATTATTATTATATTACTGTCAGACGTCCAAACGCATTTTTACCTGCCGGTCCGTCCGCCGAACAATTACATATGATATGTTTTAAATAATGTAATGGTAATAAAAACAAAATAATTATCGTGCCATGATATGAAACAAAACAAACAATTTTTTTTTTATAAATTTGTTTTTTTTTAACTACCTGCGCGTATTTAATTTTTACAAAAACGTGAGCGAAACAAAAAAAAATGTGTATTTACTTAGATTAATAACGTGTAAATAGTAAAAATAATAATATCGTTGTTGCGTCTTGATTAAGTGATTGATAAGAATAAGAGATTTTTCTATTGGTATAAATTATTATTATTTTACGAACGGCAGACACAATAAAAAAAAAAAAAATGCTTTGACAAAAATTAGTAATTTTACTGTGAAAAGAAAAACGCTCTTATTGTAAACTTTTTTTTATAATTTTTTTTTTAACCGCCTAAATGATTCTCTATAGCACTGCCGACAGGAATAGGTGATAATAATTATTATCATTTATGTATTACAGAATAATACTATTATTTGTATTATTATAATAAGTATTAATTATTATAACCGACATTGTTATGTATAACTACTTTTTTATATTTTATCCCTTGTTTTTCCTGTCGAACGTGAGAATTCGTTTCTTTTTTTTTGTGTATTTTGTTCTTATTTCAAATGATTCATTCAACATGTTCATACATACATTATTATAAAATAATAATATTTAAAACAAAATCCCCGAACGAATCCGACGCGACCGAGCAGTGCTATGACCCGAATCATTTTTTTAATTGTGTACAAAAAAACAGCAAACAATCAAATAATATATAATTGTTGTTGTCTATTTCTCTCTCTCTATATATATATATATCTCTCTGTCTATTTGTGAGCCTGTCCAACGCATTTCATAACATTATTTTGTATTATGAGTTTTGTTTGCGAGGTTATCGGCTTATACAGACCCAATTAGATACAAAAAACAAATATATTTTTTTTTTGTTCATATTTTCATTATCACTATTATTATTATTATATAATATTATCATTATTATTATAATTATGATTATTATTTTTATAACTATTATTATTATTATTTTTATTATTATTACCTATTATTATTATTATTATTATTATTACTATTACCTATTATTAAGCTACGATTATTAATTATTATTATTATTATTATTTATACTGCGTTTGTGTACATATTAATTATTGAATAATAAATATAAATTTTCGGTTTATAACGCGAAAAGCAAAAATACATAATATATATGTATATATATAAATGAACATATATTTATATGTATATATATATTACCTGTAAATACTTTAAAAAAATGTAATAATAAAAGGAAAACATGAAAAAAAATCAACTGTTGTACTATTTTTCTATATAATATGGTTTTGTTTTTATATTGATATATATTATATAATTATCTTATCGCTGTCACGTCTTGTCCACACACACACTCAAACAAAATAATTAGCTAGGTTATCTATTTCGTTATTAAATCATTTTACATGTTGCTGTGAATAAATTATAAGAATAATATTAGTTATTAACCTAACCGGCCATAGGTGTTATGTTTGTACATATATAATATTATATATATATGTATTATTAGATATTATTATACTAAGTGTTTTTAATTTTTAGTCTATAGCAATAAGTGTACAATAACAGCTATACCCTGTCCGCCCAGAGAACAAGCCGCGACCCGTCGAAAAATTGGCCGTTCTGCGCATTGTCCCGGCATGTTCTCTGGGCGGACAGTGTATAGTTAATAGTTTAATCTTCAGGCAGAATAACTAAATTGTGTACATTATTATTATAAGAAGAAAAAAAAGTTGTCTACCAATTATTGTATCATATAAAATGGTGTTATTGCTTCTCCGTTTCGCCGCAGTGATCGATATCAACGACTAACACTAAATAGAGTTAATAATAATGTTGTAACGCCAACTGATCGGATGGGTCGACGACGCACGCTGTTTGAGGGGTAAGTTTTTATACAATAATATAAATTAATTTAAAACATTTTTTTTAAAAAACGTTGAATAAGTTCTGACTTTTGTGTAATTTAAGCGCGGCGTACGGTTTTTGCGTTCTTTACTAAATTATTCTTATGTATGACGTTATCTCCCATGTCGAACACTACAATACAATACAATTTAATCAAAGTAACGTTTTTTATTTTGTTTTTACATTTTTTTTCCTTAGCAAGCGAAGAGACAAGTTCAAATACACCGATAAACCGCAGACATAATAATTGGATTTATAATACCAGAAACCCTGACCGTCGCCTAGGGATTTAAACTTTATACTTATGTCATCTTAAGGCACGCTTTAGTGCTGAAGCTCATACTGAGAATTATGCTCAGACACTTATTTTTAACCTCAAGTCGACGCGACATTTCGTTAAGCTTTGCGGTGCAAATCACAGATATTATTATGTTGATCGCACACCGCTTGTGTTAATTGATTTTTCTTGTTTGGTCAAATAACAAGTTCGCAGCTCGACTCAACGTTCTTAGGGGTTTTAATAAATAATAAAAAAATTGACAATTTAAGAGTTAGCTCTTTCTGCGGTGTTCGAAAAACGGAAACTAAAATAAATAATAAAAATAATGACATTTTTTTTTTTCATGTTAAAATTAGTTTGGCGTCGATTCTTGTAATATTATTTTGTTGTTGTTTTCACACTATTGACGGCCGGCGCAACGTGGTGTAGCAACCGACGAATGTCGCCAAAAGTGACATTGGCCCGATTCGAATAGAGAACAAAAAAAAGATAATAATAATAATTCGTTTCCGTCTTGGCCTTCAGGTAAATTCAGGTAATAAAAAAAAACAATGTTATCGACGCCAGATATAGATAAAATTATAATATCATTATGTTCACGACCGTTTTTGGTAAATATTATAGATATACATATTATATTATACATAATTTAAATCATGATAACAGCATGAGTAGGCGATACGGTATTTAAACGACAGTTCGTTTGTGGAATTCCACTTTTGCGCCTCATCGTGTGAACGACAGCGTTGATAATAAGTACCTATTATTATATTTTATTTCAATAATTTTAACGCTAAAATTTAGTAAATTGTAGGGGATGTTCGAGTTAGCAGCTTAGGTTAGGTTAGTAGTTTCCATTTTTACAGCGGTCGGTTGTAAAGTTAAATCACCGCAATAGGTATAAACAAACAGCATATTAATTTTGCGATGCGGCTTAATATAAACACTATTGTATAATCTTTCAACGCCGAAGTCCCCGATAATTACAGTGTATACATTTAGATATATGGTTAATAGATTTAAGTACATAATAACTGTATTACAATAAGTGATCCGCCTCAACACAGGACACCAATTATCTCTGAAAATAGTTACAGTTTTCTAGATTTTCTTTTTGGGGAGACATTTTAGTTGACGTTATTTCACAGTATTAAACAATACTCAAATGTGTATGTCTATGTATTTGATAAATTTCAGAACTCTATCGACTTTTGAATAAGTTCTTTGAAGTTGAAAAGTTAGGACGGCATATATAAAGGGTAGAATGTATAGTATTATTTTTATCTGCACCGTATTACTCTACCACCTTCTTCCTCCTGTTCTAAAATCTTAAACATAGCTTTAGTAACTTCAAAAGTAACTATCTAAATAATGGGTTTCGAACAGTAAACAATTTCAAAACATTTTTTTTGAATTTAATAAGTTAATAAAATGTATACAGTATCGTTTAAGTTTTAAAAGTTAACACTTAACAGAGCTCTGAATAGTACCGAAAAAGACAAATATTTAGTTATTTTACAATACTGTTGTACAATATCTAACATCTAAGTAAAAATGTACACTATTTACACATCTTGCGGTTGTAAAATAGTAATTAACGAGTGTATCGCTTTAAATGGATCATTCTGTACATACATACAATATTATAACCTCTTTTGATTATACCACATGTGTGTGATATGCGTATATAGTAATATAGTTATTATAGGTTGTGTATTGCGGGTACACCGGTCGGTCCTGTTGGGCGGATGTAAAATTATTTTTACCCCTGCGCTCTGCGGCTGTCCGTGCACACGCCCTCGAAGGGGTTTTTCGACGACGGCCGGTTTTGCCGGGGAGGGACGTGGATTTTTTTTTTGGTTGGGGTCGCAGCACAAGCCTCCGCCTCTTCCAAAACGACCACCGTGTGCGAGAGACTATTATTTTAACGTTTACAAAATTACCGGCCGTTTGTTTCCTCTTCGCCCGAGCAGTCGCTGAGCCACGGTTTATATGGATCACGTCGCCGGAGAACAGCACCAGCAGTGCCTAAAAGTTACCAAAATTCAAAGCCACAGGAACCCAAAAACGGGAGGGGGATTTTTCTCCATGTTCTACTTATGATATGGGGCTATATGCCCATAATTGTGTAACTACAGGCGGAGGGTGGCTGGGGTAATTAAAATCCTTTTAAACTTGTTCAGGTATTACAAAAAATGTCAGCATCCAATCGGCCACGGTCCTCGGTAAGGTTTATAAGTTTTTACTAAAATTCTGAGGGAGCTTTCAGAGATTTTAAAAGGTCTGAACTGAAGAGGCCCTTTTAGTTACGCCAAAGATTGTACCCTTCTTGGGATCCTTATATTCCAGTTCGTCTGCTATTTAAGTAATTAACCGAAATCACAATGTGACCTAGTTGTGCACCAACGGTGCTTATATTACTTTTTTGGCGCATTGTCCACAGTTTTAGACACAAGAAGAGCTGATAATCGCAGATTAACTTCTACACGATGTATAATACTTTTATAACTATACAGCATTTGTAATTTTGTATACAGGCTCATCCGAATACACTCGAGTTCGAGTTCGAAGTATAACTTAAAAATACAAATGTATATAGGTAATACATACATATATATTAGAACAACACATTTTTACATACAATTATTATATTTGTATCAGATATATTTATGGGTGTATAATCATAGATAATAATTATTTGTGGTGAGACTGGTGACGGTATATATGTTTATAAATTATTTTCAAACAACGGTCCATTTGATAGTAAACTGGATTGCCGAAAGTTTTGTTAACTTTGCCGGACAGTGTGTGTTTTTATCATTACAATTACTATTATTTTCATGCAGCAATAGAAAACGATTGTGGTTTAAAAATAATTATTTTGTTATACGCATTGGACGGTTTAAACTAGTCAAATCTGCAGAAAAATAATAATAATTAACGGCAACTTCGAATGGACAGGGATAGGGATCGCACACTAGCATTGAACATTTACTCAATTTTAAAATTTCAATTCCACAGCAGTAAACCTAAACAGTAGACGTCCTGATAGATTGTCACGGAAGTGGCATACAATTTTTTTTATTTTGGAATAATAACACAATCGAATCGAATTTGATCGACCTTTGTGCGTCCTTTGTACATACATACCTATAGGTACATACGGTCTAGTGTGTCACTGATAGGATTTAACAAATTCGGACTCTAGTCGTATTTTTCAAAACGGTTGTTTATTTTTGCCGCCGATAGGGAAACAAAACCAAAGCCGATAGAAACGATCGGTGTGTACAATGTATATATTGTTTTAGTAAGTGAGTGTGTGTGTGCCGGATTGTCTTTAGTCCTACGACGGTTTGCCGGTACCGTTAACCAATAGCCGTGCCTTCTGCCGCCTCCTGTCGCTGTGCGCGCGCACTGCTGGAAATTAACAACGCCTCTCCCTCTGCTTGGAGACGTTCGGTCGACGTCCCCCATTCACTTTCCACGGCTCGTACAACGTACTATTAACACTTATTATGGCCGTACTACTACCGTTGTTGCTTTTTTTTTTTTTTGTAAAAAATACCCACTGCGTCGTAAACCGCTGTTAAACTGAAAAAAAAAACGGTTAAAGCCTAAAATATTATAATACAGCGATGAGGCAGTGAAAACATTTAAAACGCCGTGCGGCCGCAAGTGCTATACAATAATATAATATAATAATAATTGTTTATCCACCCGCTTTCGTATAGTACCCATATAGATACCTCGGAGGCTATTCGCTATTAATAATATGTATAAAAAAAGCCGTAAAGTAA